GGCAGTTTCAGCAGCGGTTGAATCAGGGACGCCTGCAGCAGAGCAGCTGGGGTGCCGCCAGGTTGGGTCGGCAAAACGCTGTGGCCATTTTTATGCCAATTAGATGTGGGATATTTAAATCCCTGCCTCATTTGCAATGTTGACCTGTCTAATCTGCATCTCTCTGCCGACAGAGGGATGCAGTCTAGACATACCCCTACTGTCTGCATAGATATGTCTCTCAGAGGTGTCAAAAATTCACACACTTAAGGTTATGTCTCCATTTGCTGCACCAGAGATTTATCTTCTGGCATTAGATTTATCAGGTTTAATAAGGACCTGCTAAATGAAATTCTGAGAGCGGCCTCCACTTTGCACTGGTACTCCAATTCCTTGCAAGGAGTAAGGGAAGCGAACAGGAGCATTTACTCATGTTGACCTCTTGCTGTGGAGATGACATCAGCTCTGCTTAAGGTATGTTGACCCCTTCTGGATCTGGTATAGACCTGCCTTGAGAAGGGTAGTTATGCAGACCTAACTCCTGATGTAGACAGTGCTAGCGCAATGGAAGGATTCTTCCATTGACCTAGCTACTTCCTCTTGAGGAGGGGTTAATTACAGCAATGGGCAAACCCTTCCTACTGCTGTTATATATCTACACTGAAGTACTACAGCTACACAGCTACAGTTCTACTACTGTGTTTTTGTAGCATTTTAAATGTGGACCTAACCTCAAGAAAACAAACAAATAGGAAATGTGGTTGGTGGTGTTTGTGAGTTTTCCAAACATATTTCATTCTAAGGCACCTGATTTTTCAGACGTGAAATGTCATGGCTTATTGAATGAACCAAAACCACAGAAATACAATTATTTTAATAAAGATTTACATAATTTCTATAATTTCTGGTTGCCAGTTTCATTAAAACTTTAGCTACTACACAATATTAACTATCAATACTAACTCTTGAGAAACACAATGACCAAGCATTTTCTTTTTTAGGACTTGTGTGGATTTCCATAGCATGGAAACTAGACAATATGTTTGTGAACTCTTGTCCTTCCCATTCTTAAATTGGCAAAAGGTAGCCCTTCCCCACATGTTCCCAGTTTCTAAAAATAAATTACCAGTGTGATGGCCAGTCAACATATTTATCTGAATATTCTCTAGAATCTATTCTGCTTTCAAAGACTGAAATTCATGGCCCCTTAAAACCTGCCATGCTAGCAGTTTACTAATGGTCAATGGTTTGTCATGATTCATAGCACATATCCATTGTCACAAAAGGTCCATAAAGGCTAAGAATACATTTATCACTGAATAGCAAAAGCATTTAGCAAAACATTTCAGGTTTTATCCTATATGAAATTTGCTTCCATTGCAAATGTCTGAAGATGTGCATTTAAGCAGGAGCAATAAGGACAATATTAACATACATTTCTTAGTGATTCAAATTGGAATCTAAAATTTAAAATGTAGTCTGAAATGTTCTTTAGAATGGATTTACCATACAATGGCAGTAACATTTTAAGAACAAAATTCAGTGTTCATGTTAATTCACTTTAGTCATGAAAATAGTTTTCTCTCAGCTAAAGCCAGTCAGGCTACGTCTAGATTACATCCCTCTGTCGACAGAGAGATG